AGGCTTTTGTTTCCGATATGAACACGTGCGTCCCGGCTGCGCGTGACGTAGTAGTCAATGATTGGGCGCACGCTTGCGGCAATAGACACGTAGACAGTAGCCGAATATTATCGTTATGTTGATTCTCAGTGCCCGGCGAATGTGATTTTCTCTGCTTTCGCGTGTATCGGTATTTTCATCCTTAGTCCTTATATCATTTCTTGAGCTGTGTATTCGCGTTCGGTTCTCTTGCCTGCACAGCATTAATCGATTCTCGCGTCGTTTAAGTTTGACCAATTTCTCGTGTTCGGTTTCTGCCACAGTGGCAGAAAGTGGCAAACAGTGTCGTTTCTACCGAACACGAGGAAATCGGTCAGACTTAAACAATGCAATGAGCTTTTCACGGTACGTGAGTTCATGATTTTTAGTTAATTTTTAAACAAGTAGAAATTTATTAAGACCTAACATGTACGTGCGGATTCCGCCAACAAAAAATGTCCGCGAGATTCGGAAAGTTATGTCGGTGAGGGATATTAAAAAGTTCAAATCGCAAAATCCACTTAATCCGCGACAATTATATAAAATTAAACACAATGGAGATATTGTCGTAGGTCACGTTCTATGTACTGCAAGTAAGTAAAAAAATCTAATTTTCTTATGTACTTAAATTTTCTATTGTACTAGATTATCAAAAATTTCCTTAAAAATTCAACATTTAATGCAACAGATTTTTCATAAAAATTTATTGTTAAATATTTTTATTATTAATTTATTATCATTATTTGTAGGTACCAAGAGCGAATTGGAAGCAATGGTGGCAAGAAAAAGGATGAATATTCCACCGTCCCAACATCTACTGTCAGCATCTGACAGCTTTAGCACCGATACTGAAAACTCACCAAAGTCTGCTAAGGTACGTTAATATACAAAGAAACTGACTCTACAGTAAATTTTTTATGTTTCTTTTATAGAGGATAGATGAAGATTTAGAAAATAGAAAACAACATAGGCTAAAGCAATTGAAAGAACGTCAGGCTTTGTGTGCAATTAATGCACAATCTGTTGAAGAATACCAGGTATGAAAATTTGATACAAATTTTTATATACCTGATATAAAGTAATTTATGCAATTATAACAAACACATTATTAAACAGGAACATAGCACTTGCAACAGAAGCTCGTCGATTTTAAATATTGAAATTGAAGATTCAAAAAGTACTGTAAACGCATATAAAACCCAGTGTGACTTCTTAAAAGACAGTCTCCAAAAAAAAGAAAAAATAATTGCAGAAAATGCGGAATGGATTGCTAAACAAAAAGATATGGAAGTAACTATTGTGGCATTAGAGGAAGAAGTACAATCATTACGCCGATTGAATGTTGAATTGCAGGAATCTGCAATCTTAAAAGGAAAAGAAATTCAAAGTTCGTATATATATATGTTTAATATACACAACATAGCAGCTATATTGTGCAATATGAAATAATAATACAATTATTATTATGTAATTGATCACTTTTTCACAGGTTTCAATGAAGGCAACAATTTAAATGTGGTTACAGGAAACAACCTGACAGTATCAAATAAACATCCCGCAGTTGGTTCTATAACGCCTGATAATAAAAGCGTAAGTGATTTCAATGTTTGCAAGATTAATTTACAGACATTCCTCTACTTACAACAAGATTACGTTCGTAAAACTTTGTTATTTGTAAATC